CGAATGCTGAAACAAAGACAAATAGAATGAAAGAAATAAAATCTGGAAGAAGAAAAATAATTAAAACCTGAAACAGAAAATAATTAGTACCTGAAAGAAGAAATTATTATTAAATTATTCAAGAGAGTGGACAATGGGCACTGAATAACCATTGATCTAGCCAACGATGATATACAAATAAACCAACGACGAAGCATTCGAATATTGTACGAAATACTCGAATGCACAAACAATGAAACCTAGAATAAAAGAAATAGAATCTGAAAGAAGAAAGAAAAATAATTAGTTCCTGAAAGAAAAAAAATTAACGCGGACCTTCCGAAGTCGAACCGACAACTGGCTCGAGCCTTCACGCCGGCCCCTTATATAGCGGCGGCCGGGCGAAGATCGGCGAAAATTTCCGAAGTTTACCGATTCCTTTAAAAGTTACTTTGTCGCTGTAATAACTAACAATTTATTAACTTTTTTTACTTTTATCGTTAATATTCGTTGCAAACTATTTGTTATCAATGATTATTTTTATTTTTCCATTCTAATAACCAATAATTTATCAATTTTTTCATTGTTATTATAAATGTACGTTATAAACAATTTGTTAGTAAAAATATTAATTTGTTAGTAACAATCGGTGCAATAATTTATAAACTTTTTGCAAATTAAATGTGCATTTTAGCATACATATGTTATAAGTTCCAGTGATAACCAATAAAATATTAATTTTTTCATTTTTACTATAAATTTACATTACCAGCAATTTGTATTAACAATATTAATTTGTTATTAACATTATTAATTTGTTACTAACGATAAATACAGTTTATAAACTTTATTTATGTTTTTAGAATATAAATTTCTGTGATACATTTATACTGTGTATTTTTATGCTTTAACCAATTTGTCATTAACAATTTTAATTTATTTATGATAAATTTGTTAACTTATACATTTCTTATAAACTACAATATAACTGCATTCGCACTTCTATATTTTATTAATTATGGACATTAATAAACTCGGGATACTCTAACCTAATATTCAAGAAAACAACGAACCTGCTAACGTTTATACTTGATATGCAATTCTTCATTTTATACCAAAATCGTGCCTTTTTACAATAATATATTTTCAATAATCAATATTCCACTATTTCCAAGTTTCTAAAAATTCCAGTCCAAATTCCACTATTTCTAAAATTTCTACTATAATTAATATTTTATTTCCAGAATAATAGCTTAATAAATAAATAATATTTAACACCATCTGCGTTTCCTAAAACAGACAGATACGTATGCATGTTCAATTTTATACTATGGTGGGTGTACCATATCCCACGTGGGCGCCAAAATATTTTTGAAAACACAATTGACGTACGCAGTGCTTCCTCCAAGTTGCATTTCCATCGAAAACAATTTTGAAGAAAGAAAATTAAATTCTTTTTTTTTCGAATTTCCTTCAGTCTCAAAGTTTCCATTCATTCCTGAATCAACGGGAATTTTTTATCGAAATTCACAGACACCGGTTACGTTACAACGAGTAACTTATATCACGATGCATAAAAAGATGTTTGTTACCCTACGGCTGATCGTGGCAAGAAAATTTTCTTTCTGCGATTTCTAGAACATAAAGTTTCCAGCATTCACGATTTCCCAGAACATACATACATAAATAAAACTACTTGTTACGTAAAATGAAACATTGTATACTGTGATACATGAGTTAATTAAAATCCAAAGCTATAATTTCAGCTTAGTATTGATTGATAGAACTTCCAGAGACAGCAGTTTCGTGATTTTTTGCATCTATTAGTGGGTTACTAGGGAAATAGAGACACGAGCAATGATTAAATTGTTCAATTATTTCAATCAATTTGGCAATCGAACGAGAAACATCGATAGAACTGATTTAATGTTTAACTTGGACCTTGTATCCAACACTCAGCCATCTTCTTTTGTTGTTTGAACATCTGCAAAAATTTGTAAATGAAAATTTGTTTAAATGACTTAATTCGTAATGTCCAGTGACTGATTTATTTCTCGTATCAAAATTTCTACTGGAATTAAATGTTTACGAACAAAAATATTTAGTGCAAAAAGAGAAGATAAATAAAGAAGGTTAAAAAATATTTCTAAAAATCGATTACTTAAAAATATAATTTAAAAAATAAATATTCCTCTTCATAGAAAATTATATAAATATTTTCCTCGATATCATAATTTCCAAATATTAATATTTTTCTCGATATTGTAATTTCCAAATATAAATATTTTCCTCGTTATCATAATTTCCAAATATTAATATTTTCCTCGTTATCATAATTTCCAAATATTAATATTTTCCTAGATATTATAATCTCCAAATATTAATATTTTCCACGATATATTAATTTACAAATATAAATATTTACCTTAATATTCTAATCTTCAAATATAAATATTATCCTCCATATTCTAATCTCCAAATATTAATACTTCCTCCACAGCACTAATTTTCCTCCTACAATGACAAGTCAACATAAAGAAACAATTACAACTTCCACAGACCACCCAAAAACCCCATCTCAACCACTCCCCAAAACTAACTTCAAAAAATCCATAATTAGCCTAACTTCTAAGCACTATAGTTACAAATAAATCAGCAGAAAGAAAGAAAGCGAACAGGAGAATCGGCCCAATTCGCCGTCCCATCGACGTTCCACGAACACATCCATTCACCCCGAAGCCTCGAGCAAATCCACATTCCACGGATTCCGAGATCCATTCGTCGAATCTTCGTCAAACCCAGAAAAAGAGGGGAGAAAAAAGGAAGAAAAACATGTCGGGGAATACGAGACACGAGGTCCAGTTGGGGACGAAGAAAAATAGCGGTGCATCTCGTGGAGAGGGGGCGAGTAATAGGGAAAAAGTAAGAGGAATCCGGACGAGCGAGCGGTCAGGGCGCAGAAAGAGGAACGAGGGAAGCCACGAGGACGCTTCCGCCGGCTGGAGTTGCGCAGAAGCACCGGTGCTCGACGACGTCCGTCGCGACGAGGGCTAAGCAGTCGTGATTCGCGCGGCGTCCGTGTCGGTTCGTGATTTCCCGCGATTCGAAGTTCCCCTTTCCTTTATCTCGTGCCCACTCGACATCCTCATTCGACGATTTTCCGTAAACCCTGTCAAACCTGCTACTGGACATTATCCATTTCCAGATTGGAGAATTATAGTGCAAACGACCTGGGAACCGGAAGTCCAGGGTGCAGCTGTGTTGGACCAGTCGGTGAAATTGGATTGGAAGTGAAAAAGTATCAGATTGAAACAGGGGCGCGAGTTTGGAAGTCGAAAGAAGTTGGGATTGGAAGCAGATTGAAGCTAATTGATCAGAACAAAGGGAAGTCGAAGAAATTTAGGGAAACTAAGATCGGGGTTGAATCAGAGGTAATTGGTGGGGACAAAGCCTCCAGAAGTCTGGAAATTGAGCAAGTCGAAGAAGTTCCCTGAGATTATGCTTGGAATCTGTGGAACTGGTTATTGCTTGGACAGGGTCTGGGAAATAGGAAGCAGCTCAGTGTGACAGTTAGAAACTTGGAAGAAGAACGAAGTCCTGAGATATCATCTGACAGGAATCGAGGAAGAGTTTCTATAGAAGCTTTCAACAGTTTCTGCAAGCTAATCTCCATTAAGCCAGGTGCAACGTGGATCCAATAAAGGCAAAGTAAACTGCACGAGGAAGTGCACTTGAGGAAGCCTGTCTGTTCAAGGAGAGCAACCGATCAGTCACCTGGTTCGACACAATTTCCAGTGTTCCATCGGAAAATTAGAACCTTATTCCACCTCTAACATCCAGTTCAGACGATGTAACCAGTCCTAAGCCGCAGACGAGGTTAACAGCACCATCAACCCAAAGTATGCTGACGAAAAAACTACCAAGCAATCACGTGGAATGACCCATCCAACATGGATCACCTAGCAGCCACCTCGTCGATAGACCTGAACCACTCTAACCCAGTTTCCTCGATTCTCCAGAGCTACCTACAAAACTTGACCACTGTGCACAACGACACGGACACTTTCGTGGATGTGTTCCCAGCTAGTAATCCTCCCAGAGACTCGTTGTATATCGTGGTACCCGTCACCATCATCTACGTGCTTGTCTTTGTGACAGGCATCATCGGAAACATCAGCACGTGCATTGTGATAGCGCGCAACAAGTCGATGCACACAGCCACCAACTATTATCTGTTCAGCCTAGCAATCTCGGACCTGTTGCTGCTGGTCTCTGGTCTCCCAGCTGAGATCTACCTGGTCTGGTGCAAGTACCCTTACGTCTTCGGCGAAGGCTTCTGCATCCTGCGTGGCTTGACAGCCGAGACCTCTACGAACGCCTCGGTCCTCACTATCACAGCCTTCACGGCAGAGAGGTACCTGGCGATCTGTCACCCGTTCCTCTCGCAGACTATGTCCAAGTTGTCCAGAGCGGTGAAACTGATCCTGGTAGTGTGGCTAGTGGCTCTGTCATTCGCGTTGCCTCAGGCATTACAATTGGGGGTGGTCTATCATCAGCAGAACCCTGACATGGTGATGTGTACCGTGAAGAAGGTCCTGCTGCAGCATTCCTTCGAGCTGTCCACGTTCTTGTTTTTCGTGATGCCGATGAGTCTCATCACGGTGCTGTACGCACTGATCGGGTTGAAGCTCAGGAAGTCGAATATGATGAAGAGGAGCAGGGGAAGTGGCCAGGGTGGGAGCTGCAGGCACCATCCAGGCAGGTCGTCGAGGAGAGTGTTAAAGATGCTTGGTGAGTTGAATTTGGTATAATTTAGTAACATGATCGATGAGCATGAGCTCTGGTACTGGTCTTTGATGACACCAGAACCACTCTTAGCTCTGGACAGGTGGGAATTTCGCATGGACCCTATAGTTAGAGGGTCTTGGCCTTAGGAGACCCTATATTTAAGAGACCTGTACTTAAAGGACCTCGCATTTAGATGATCCCTGCAGTTAGGGGACCTGTATTTAGGAATCTTCGCATTTAGGAGGTCCACTTAGGGGACCTAGTACACATCATCAATTATTACAAAATTTTTCGTCATTGCTTCGATTGTTATAATAAATTTAACTTAGTAGTCGAATCAGTAAAATAGACATATACTGTAAAGCATAGTTTCCTTAAAAATGGAGGTTCTAAACTATATCTTATGGTATTAAACTCGAGACCTGGGTTTAGTAATCTCTCTATCTAACCTCTAAGGGTGGCTTTGGACATGAACCTTCGAGAATTCACCCTTTTAAGGCAACCAGAAAGTATGATCCACGTGTTTTCGTGACTTACATTGCTTGTCTAGCCTAATCCAGGTTTAACCCGAGCCTAAACTTCCTGACTGATTTATTGCACTATTGAGAAGGTATATCAGTAAAAGAATACAACCTGAGTCTTTTCATTTAAAGACCAATATAATGAGTGTTCCAAAATTCAGGAAAGATGTAATTTCGATATAAAACAGAGGTTTTTAATTAAAAATTGTATATTTTGGACATCTTGGTATCATCGAAAAATCAGACAGGAAGTCAATTTAGGAATCCTTTGTCATCCCTGATAAGAAAACCCTATGCTATCGGCTCGAGACGGCTATCAGGTGTCAGCGAATGAGTTGTTTAAAAAGGAAAACTGAAGGGTGGAAACGACCTAGAGTTCGATCCTTTCCCCAAGGAAACGATTGTGCAACGTAGAAAAAGGCAAGGAAACGCCTTTTGCTTAGGGGTTGTGGGAACTACAACGACAGCACTTAGTTGGAAACCATTCTGTTTCCAATACGAAGGCTTCTTATTTATAAAAGCGAGAAATGGAAAGAAACAAATGTCTATCCAATGAACAAATATTATGAATTACTGAAATAATTCATAAGAATTGCTTTGTTAACAATTTGGTTGTTGTTAATCTACTATAAATCGCCAAATCGTTACAGTTTATGACAACCACGTGATAACTCGTTGTTCGTGTATTCGACACCTAATATATAGGAACTTAAAGAATTTTTTGGGAAGGTTAAAACGAGATGTGGATTATTTAAAGCCGAAAATATCATCGAAGCCATCCCTCGCTTCTTTATGACGACAATAAAGTTCGTTTATCGTCGCCAAAAGGCGATAACTAACAATAAAAACGAAAAAAAATCATGAGGTTCCTTTATTGTCGTTCTTAAATTATTTTTATACTATCCTTTTAACGAACGAATAAAAAGTTGCCTTAATTTCAATTTTATACCCCGTTTATTTCGAAAGGTATTTATTAAATAAAAATAAAAACCTCCATTACCTTCTTAATATTTTTCCGAACATTGTACCTGTCATTTACTATCTGCAAATATAATTGTTTCAAATAAATACAATCGAAGAATAAGAAATAATTATTCCCTTTCCATTTTGAAAAATTTCTGAGACACCATGTATATTAATTAATTAAAATCTCGATCGAGTTTCCAAACGCCGCAAATTTCCATCGAATTTCTATCACGGCGTGCGTCACGTGACACCGAAGAACAATGGCGGAAACGCGTTACGATTTCGCAACATAACCTAGTATTCGTCCTCGTAACTTTATATCCTTACATAAGTAAGCATCCATGCTGATTTAATCCGACGTTTTCACGGAATGCAGAGATAGAAATTCCCGTTGGGAACGAAATTATTTTCGGAATTTATGACCCAGCTGTCAAATAACTGTGAGCTTGCAAAAACTAGGGGACGCGATTAACGAAAGAATCTTCTAATGGATTAGCGTGCTTCGATGTTCTTACTTTTAATTACGAAGATAAAAATTCAGAACCTCGAATAGTAAATTTTTAATTGATTTTTTTTTAATCTAACACACGAGTCGGAATCTAAATCAATTTTTTAAACAAATTTCGAAACCAATAAATTTTGATTCTAACTCGCATAATGCCAAATTTATATTCGAACAAATGTTGCATTTTAAAAAATGCACGAAGGTAAAGACTTTACCTTGGAATTTATAAGTCTAGCCAGTTACCACTATTTTCGTGGAATATCACCAGAAAAAGAGAATTCTACCGATTACAGATTCCCCGAGGAATTCCCTTCGTTATTCATTCAGAATGAGCATCGAGACAATTTTTGGGGAACAAAGTCAGAATATTAAATTTCAAAATACGATATTGCGAACTGTCAACTTTTTGACAATTTCGTACATTTCCTGTGCTTTATGAAAAGAGTCTGTATGCATCGAGATCACCGATAATGACTTAGCAAACAACTAACCATTCCAATAACATAATATTTTCGTAATTTAATGCTTTCATTGAACTAGTGGTTAACCTATGCGAATATGTATATACTACATATAATATAACGTAATGTATGTACATGAAACGTATATTTCTTTTCATATGAAAACGAATGTATTTTCCTGAAATGAAATTACTAGATGACGAAAAATTCTGTTACTATGAAGTATACGAAATGGGAGACAGGAATAAACTGCATATGCAAATGAAATTAATGAAAATAAAGTTTGAGGTTCTTCGCAAAATTTTGAGACCATTTTTGCCAAATTTGTATGCGCGGATGATACGCAAATTTATTTAAAAAATTTCGTAACCCGAAATTGCCAATTATGTGAATAGGAGAAATATTTATTTCCCATACCGTTATATTGTTCGAAGCTTTTAACGATATTAATTATCATTAAGGATCACTATTTCTTCATGCGCTCGTAAATCGCGTAATTATCCCGCAAAAAATTGAACCACAGTACCTACAGACTTAGTACGTATTACGTATTATAAGTAGCAAAAAAACGAACGTAAAATTAAAAATTAACATTTCCATTTACATAATCACACGATGTTTCGTTAATCAGATAATTAAAGAAAATATACCTACAAAATAATTAAAAAAGAAATTTTCGAAAAATCCCTAAGATGTTTAAAATTTGCGAAAATAAATTTTTAAAAAATTACAAGGGAATTCAGATTTTTGTAATATATTGACAAATTAAAAATAAATATAGAATAAAGAAATCGAGGAAAAAAATAGTCGACAAAAAATTCTGTTTCGTCGAACAATTTTTCATCGACGATACCCTTCGATCTCCCAGCTCATCCACATTCATCATTCGTCGGATCGGTGGGAAAATCGACACTGGGTTTACAATCGGATCATGCGCGCGTCACATGCGACATCGACAAATGCACAAGTCGTATTATTTTCGTAAACTTCCGGGACGAGTTCATAATCCGCGCCCCCATTCTTCGTTTTCACTTGCGACGAACACGAACGCAGCCAAACTGGAAGAAATATTTCGCGAGTACACGAGAACCGGAAGTCCGACTGCAGGGAATTGGAACGATCCGATCGACACTTTTGTTACGATTAAATTAATCGAAAAATGGCAATTGTCCTATAAAACATCGATCTAAATTTCAAATTGACCACTTTCCTCTGGGTGACTTAATACCAATGAAAAGTATACCACATGACAAAGTAATTTTCGTAGAACAGATAATTCTATATTAAGAAATGTCATTACTGTAACATGAGAACTGTAAAGCGCGTGGAAAAACTTTTCTTGTCGACTCTTTTTTAATTTCTCGAGTTTCCAAGTGATTTTATATTCTACCTTTTTATTTCTTCTGGTATTATTCGAATGATGCATACCGAATGTTTCTTCGAGATTTTCTAGTTCTTTACAGACAATTCGATTTTATTTTATATCGAAGAGGTTATAGTCTGTCGTCAATAAATTAATATGTGTAAGCATGCTTCTATGCAACGACCATAGAATGTAAAATTCGCGATATAACTGCCATCTGTGGGACACCCTGTGAACTATTTTCTATAACCTGGAATTACAGTGGTAGATTAGGATTATGACAGAAACGTGTTGTAAACAAACAGAACAGTTCTCTTTTGGAAATGATTTAAAAGCAATTTTACGAAATGACAGAGTAAAGTAAGTCTTCGAATATGAACAATAATTATATAGAAACTTTGTGAATTACCATACGACTGATTATCATATCACAATATACATATGTATTTAATACTAACCTCGCACTCGTGAATTAAATTCCAAGCAGCTAAGTGTTTTTCTAAAAAAATTCAAATGAATTAATTTCTATATAATTTAATTGATTACCTGCAAAACCAGCATCGAAGGAATTTCGTAACTGAATAATCAGTGATTCTAATAAATATGGATAGATCGAGTGGAAGAATCGATAAACTGGAATAAATTATATAAATCATTGAGAGAAGTGTTTGACTATCAAGTAGGTATTATCCTGATTAAATGTATAACAATCTGTAAAAAATTACGTGTAATGAAAATGTTATTTAATAAGGCGACATTTTATATGCAGACATCTAATACCTTCGTCACGGAACAGCATGACTGTGTCTCATGAGACAGCTTCATTTACTTCGTAATTATACATGTTTACACGCCTGCTGGTGGACAGAGATTCGTGGCACGGAAACGACGCCTCTGTATGTTGCATCGTTTCCCTTCCGGTATGATTCCACTCGATAACCGATTGCGTATATCGAACCGCTTTCTGTCCCTGAAACGATAAATGAAAATATTAAAAGATATTTCTTTCACAGCTCATAATTAAATGGTAATCTATTTAATGGAAGATTTCGAGGTTAGGAAGATGTAATGGTTCAAGAATGTCAAGTAGAACAAGACTTGTTGTTATTGAAATTAATTTCTTGCAAATGCTATGTTGTAAAGAATATCTGTAATAGAATGACACTAATTTTGCTATGACTTTATCT